ATTATCCGAACCCGGCCAACAAGCACCTTTCCGAACCCCATCCCCACCTCAACAATCCGCCACGGCAACAAAAAGGGGGTGTTCTGCCTAACAAAACCTGACATCACCACCCGATCCTTCCTCCCGGCTCCATCACCACCGCTTCCGCACAACCAACAGCGAAGCCAAGGCCGTTCCGCGCGTAAATTGCCACCCCGCAAACCCCACAACCAAGGTCGCATGTAATGTAGCCAGACTAGATAGATCCGGTGATCTAAGCAAACATACGCCGGTTGCTGCTAGCTAACCCATGGAGATAAGCTCCCATTTACATCCTTTTGAGATTTGACTCACAGAGGGTGTATCGATGGTGGATCTACACACAGTCGAGCAGAGCAGTCTCGCACCCGCTGTCCCGTCCTTTGTGCTCGTCTGCTCATCTGAGCGACGCGTGGTGTAACTGAGGGCAAGTCCGAGCCGGTTTCCTGGATATCTGTGTGTGGATGAAGTGCGTCGTGGCATGTCTCACGGCAGTAGATTTTGTGACAGTAGCGTGGCAATCTGAAACTTGTTTGTGTGTAGACAATCATGTATTTCTGTTATCCCAGTTGGCTGCAGTAGGCATCCGGCAAACCTGCAAATCCGTCCTGAACTCCCACCCCTACGTCAACGGCAACGGGGTATGCTCCATACAAAGGAGAAACACCAAGACTTTCTCAACCAAAAGTACTAACCCAAATCCATCGCATGGGATCTGTCCGTCTGTAGAAGGAAACCATACGTGCGAACTCAATAATCTCAGGTCCCAAAAGTCAAAGACAACCGTCCCAATCCGGCCCATTGCTGGGGCGTTGGCCTAATAAACCGTTCCCATCCGATGCAGTACACGACAAAAAGAAAGAGGCGAGAAAATAACGTATTTGAGGGGGAGTTCTCAGTAGCCGTGCCGTCGGCGTAGTCTTTCTTCAACCTCGAGCTTGCGACGCAACGACTCGTTCTCGCTGGTGAGCCGCTCGTTGGCGGTGATGTGGTCGTCCATGTTGTCGCGGAGTCGTTTGATGCGGCGGTCCTGATCTTCGTAGCGGCGGTGCCACTCAGCAACTTCATCCCTCAGCTGTCGGACACGATCATCCGTTGCTTCTTTAGCTATCCGTAAAACTTCTCTCACACGCATCTTGAGGGATTCGTTTTCGGTCTCAAGCTTTGTATTCTTTCTCCGCAAGTCCCGGATTTTGGTCTCGCGCCGGCTGTCGACGTCTGAGTTGCTCTCGAGGGACCGGCGGAGCTCATGGTTTTCGAGCTCTAGTTGATCGATCCAGGCCTGTTGATCTCGTATCGTCTTTTCTTTGCCCTGAAGTTGGCCCTTGAGGATTTGATTGTGTCGTTGGAGCGTGTCGTTGGCCACTCGCAGGCCACTCTCACGCTCCTGCATCATGTCCAGGTCGTCCCTGAAAATGTAGGCGGGGCGTTCGTCAAGCGTCAAGCTGTGCCGGCGGTAGTGTGCTCGGCGGGGGCTTCTTGGAGGAGATGGGAGGTCGATAAACACTCGGTGGCCGTGACCCGGCATGCGGAAGACAGCAGGCGGCGCTGTTGTGTATTCGTTGTGATTCTCCTCTGAATCTGGCCAGAGGGAGTATCAGGGAATGTATGGAAAGAATAAGGAGTTAGGAGAAGTGGTGTGAGTCGGCGGGAGGGAATATGTAGGCTTCACGACAGGCAGTATGGGCAAGGCTAAGCTAAACCGTATGCAAGTGATGGCTGCATGCGTCCAAGGTGAGGAGCGAATGATGGGGAACGACTTGACCATGGCTCGAGCGGGCCGGGTGAGGCTTGTTTAAAAGTGAGCAAATCAGGCAACAACTAGCTACCAGACGAGAGAAAATGCAGGCAAGGTGAAGTGGTGTATGAATGACTATGTGTGTGGCCATGCAAAGCCTCGTGGGCCAGGTTGATCACCAATTCCCACCCACAGCGCCTGAGTTACCCGTCAGGACGGCACCGTCTGGCGCTTCCCCCCCCCCTAGGGGGGAAAGATAGCGGGAACGATATGGGATTGACCGAGACATAGTCCCCGGGCATTTGATAAGCACTTGCTTTCAGGTGTAACCAAATGAGATAGTTCCCATCAGACACCAGAGTTTGAAGCGCCTGTTTGGGAGAGCCCTCAGCTTGGAGGCAAAAAGAGCGGCCGCCAGGAGCCTAGCACGGAAGTTGACGAGAAGTACTCGGTACAACTTCTCAATATCGGAACGCGCATCTTGTGGTGTGTCCGGTGAGGTAGCTGAGAGAAACATGGCTGGTTGTGACCGTTGACAATCGTGGCATACCGTCGGACGCGGGGAACTTGTGTCGCGGCAGGGGCTGCAGCTGAGGTGAAGGACCTGCTCAGCCGAGAGAGAGGGCTGAATGCGGTTTTGTCAGGATTCCATGCCATCATCGACGTGAGTTGCATCCGATGCTAGGTTTAGGATCCATGTTGGATTGTCAACTGGGCGAGTCGCTGGTAATTGACGTTCAGGTCTAGAAGTTGATGCCGCGCCAGATGTTTGGGTAGGGGCACGATTGACCGAAGCCACTGGCCCCCGCCAGCGTCAACTGTCCAGTGTGGGTCATGCCTGCCCTGTAAGGCTCCCCGGAGGCCTGTCGTCATTGCCCTGAGAGCGCCAGCCGCATTGATCGCCGTGACAGGGAAACGCCCACGCCCCAATTGCAGCATTTCCCAACGCCTTCTGCAAAACAGTTCCTGCACTCGCAAGCACTTGCATCTGCATACGTACGGTGTTCCTGAATTCAACATGAGTTAGCATTTCCTCCTCGAACAACTTTAACGTTGCATGCGGTTTTTTTCAGCCTCAGGGCCAAAAATGGAAGTCGAGACAGCGGCAGGTAATGAACTTGCCATCATGGTTTCTTGCTGCCTTTCCCGCCGGCGTCTGCGCCGCAACCTCTTCATTTCGCAGAAATCGAACATAAACGACAAATCTCGTGTCAGTTGTAACCCTCCAGATCAAACCCAGAGCGCTCGCACTGACGATTCTGGGTGTGATCACACAAGCGCCTCAGCCGCACACAGCCTGAAAGGGTTAGAAATGTTACGACGCCACCGACCGGATGTTTGGCGCACAACTCGCGGTGTGTGATGCTGCGCCACCTCCCACTTTCTCGGACTCGGAAGGAATTGAGGGGGAGCGAATGATGCCAGCGACCGGCCCGGATCTTATGGCTTGACTTGGGGGCCGAAACCACGCACGCCCAGATGCGCAATGACTCCCGAGCTGCATGATTCTGCCTTGTCTCTCAGCTTGACAGGGTCGAGAGCATGGATATAGTTAGGAGGCCGCCGTTGCACACCTGAGCGTCTGACCGGGCCCTGTCCCCTGTTCCCTCCTTCTCGCGGCTACCGACCATCACATGCGAATTCGAACTATGGTTGTGAGCTTGTTTCCTGCGCTTGGCTGCGGGCGAGAGGCGGCGTCAAGCGGCAATTGTTGGAAGTGTTCGCAGCCTTGTCTCCAACGCCCTCTTCCTTGATCTGAGAATCCTTCGCCTTATCGGTCGCAACCTCAACCTTACCAGGTCAGGATTACCGGCCTCTTCCTCCACCCGTACACTGCGACGATCTTCCCATATCAGCCGTGGTCCCGTCGAGCAACTATGCGAATCCGTCGATACCATGGACCAAGACCTTCAGGGTCGGTATAACGCACCGCAGCAGCGTGCTTGGAACAGAACTTCCCAAGCGCCCAGCCCATGCCGAAAGAGTCCGAGAGGTGACGACCGTGTACAATGGCCGATTGAGCGGGACACCTCCGGGTTGTTGGGAAGGAAGTTCCACCAAGACAGGCCCGACGGACATTCTTGGTTGGGAGTCGACTGTAAGGGGGCGGCATTCCCTGCGTCCAGCTCGGTGGATTGCCTCGGTGGCCTCGTGGCCGCAGGCGGTTGACCTTCTCAGGCCACCTTTCCCTCAACCGCCTTGTCGTGCTGCCCGAGTCACGTCAAGCCGTGCGATTCCACTGGGCCACAAGTTGTGTTGTCGTCATCACGAAAGCCTGAGCAATGCGTCGCCGTGGCTTTCGTACGATAAGGTCTATTCGTATCTTTGTCAAGGCTCCGGTTCGCGCCCCAGATTCGAGGCTCTCGCAGAGGACTAGACGCCTTGTCTACTATTATTTGTCAGCAGCTGTACTTTAGGTCAACGTCCAGAGCAATTGGGGAGCTTTGGATGTGTTCTCATCAGCTCAGCTGCTGCTGGGACCTCCTAATGGCACTTACCTCGGACTTGGCGCAGCGAAAAGACTCGCCAGTGCGTGCACCATCTCCGCTGTCTTCAAGGTCAAGGGTCAAGGCAAGAGGAATACATACTGCACAGGATGTTTTCTGGTGGCTTCTCGCTCCAGATATGTCTTTTTGGGATCGGGTTGAAGTGAGGTTGATGTCTGAGGTCAGCCGAAGTTAGGCTCGATCTGCACTCGGGGATCCCCGTCCACTTGGACCCGCAGCCACCTGCCATTGGACAGAATTCCGATCTAAACAGCGCCGCCACCGTTGACCAGCGCACACCAGGGCGCCCATTGGATGCAAGTGCATTGACTTACGTTTCTTGGAGCTGCGGTTCTGTTGGACGGCGACCGCATGACGACAGAGTGTACGAACCCCTATTTGGAGAATGCTATTTCGAGTTGAGGAACTCCCGGTGGATCGAACGACCATAGCCAAGATGATGCAAGGGAAGTTTATATTATGCGCCTTCACAATGAACTTTCGTGTCAGGCTGTGGAGCTCACCAACATGCATTTTCTGAAGTTCAGCCCTTAGACCAAAGGAGATGTACCTGTAACCAATCGTTCTGACAATCAGACTCTCCATGACAACTTGAAAGACCCGGACCATCGTCTTCTCTGGTTGTGGTGAGCGGGCAAGGTCATCCTCGGACTCGAGGTCGAAGAAACAAGACTCCCTCGGCCTATCGATATTCAGGCGACAGGAAGAGCAAAAAGGGAGGCAATCGCCGGGAATTGAGCCCGACGTGGGGGTCGAACCCACAGCCTTGTCTCGTGAGGTTCGAAGGTAATCTCCATAAGAGTCTCACGCTCTACCGATTGAGCTAGCCGGGCGTGTACCTGGTGGTTGTTGGGATTTCACGTGAGACCTTCGACATGTCAACTTGAAGTGTGTGCGGTGGAAACTCGGACGTTGTGGGGAGTTGGCTGCACAAAGATGGGCCGAGTCAGGGGTAAAGTTCAGGACATGGCCCTGACAATTGGTAGTCGAACCGAGCTCTAGAGCTTCGCCGTACATCACACTGCATCTTTTGTATTGTGGCTTTTGTTGAGTTGAAGGCCGTCGCTGGACAAGTACTTTCTCTTGACCGACCGGTACGAATGAGCCGCTATAGAGGGAGAAAATCAAACAATCCGCCCATCCCATACTGTAGTCTCATCTCTTCGCGAATCATTACTCTTTTAACTTCCCTTAACCAGAAATGCCCAATACCACCATACCGCTACACACGCTTTCCCAGTTTGGAAGCCAACTTCAGCCTACATCGCCTTCACACACTCAATAACTGCTGCCTCCTCTCTTGGACCCCAACCCCAGTGAGCCTTCACGACACCCAACCCTGCCCTCGCCACTATATCCCTAATATTCTCCAACGTTCTCTCCTTCCCGCTCAAGCTCGTCATAAAAATATTACTCGCCGCCGCAAACAACGAAGGCGGCTCCCCGATAACCTGCTCCACCACCAATAGCCGACTATCCGGCGCCATCGCCTCCATCACATTCTTCAAAATCCCCACGCACGCCTCATCGCTATAATCATGCAGCACCCTCCTCATGTAATAAACCAGCGCCCCCTCCACCGGCGTCTCCGTCATGAAATCCACTCCCACGAACCTCACGCCCTCCAACTGCGGGTCCCTCGCGCGCTTAGCGGCTTCCACAATCTTTGGCAAGTCCAGCAACACGCACCGCTCCATACCCAGCCCCCTAGTGGCCCGCACAATCTCCTTGAGACTGTGTCCCGAACCGCCACCCACATCCACCACCACCGGCCTTTGCGTTCCCTTGGCCACGTCAACTGCCCACGAGAGGTCATAGGGCGCGAGGAACGGGAACGTGCCCTCCATCATCTTCATGGCCTCGACGTACTTCATCATGCGCTCCGGGGAGGAGTTGATCACCTGAGGCACGGACACGCCAGGCTTTCCGTGGCCAAAGGCGAAAAGGGAGTTTTTGCGACAGGTGGGCGCCTTGGGGCCGTACTTGTCAAAATAGGCTGGGGAGGCGAGGATGGGCGGGAGCATCTCGTCGAAGAAGAATTGGGCCATCCGGGGGTTGGTGGCTAGTGCGAGGGACCGCGGGGTGTGAGAGAGGCGGTCGCCGGAGCGGTTGAGGATTTTGGCAGCGCCGAGGACGTAGGTGTATCGGACTGGGCGGAGTGTTAGTACCTAGGAGGGGCCACAATCAGTGTGGTTAAGGGGGAAAGTCCTACTGAGCAGGCCGGGATCAACTCCGACCTTTTTTGCGAGATCGTCGACGGGGATATCTTGGCCGATGGGGGGCATGGCTGTGAATGCGCCCCATTTGATGAACAACCGGATAGAGACGGCTTTTGCGAAGTGGTTGTACATTTCGTGCACATCGTCAACTGGCCCCTGAAGGGCCGCGTTCACCTGAGCTGTGGCATCGAGTATCTCAGTCCGCTGCGACTCGAGCGGTGATCCATTCCGCAGGCGGTGCGAGAGTAGCATAAGCCGAGATCCTAGCGTTTCGAGTTGATTTGCAATGTCCTGAGTCTGGGAAGCCATCTTGAGCCTCAGGGATGTAAGCGGCCGTAGGGATTGACGAGTCAGGAACAGAGTGTATCGGTCTTGGCGGCAGCGTCTTATATGTACCTACGGAGAAATGATAGATGATGCAGAACTTAGAGTATTCTTGGAAACGAGCGGGAAGAAGTCAAAATAAATGGCAGCACTAGAATGATGCCAACTGGTGTTGTTTGGGGTCTCCCAGGCACGGATAAACCAAAAATAAATGAACTGCGGCTCGACGGCTGGGATGGAGCCCCCGCAGACAGACCCAACACGGATGGTAACCCTCACAAGTCGCAAATATATTCCAAGCAGAAGCGGCTCATCTGCAAACGAACGGCGCGTGGGTGTTTCCATCTCTAGCCTTGACAAAAGGGGACCCGAATGATATCCAACTGCCCGGGCCTTGACAAGTTCCGTTCTTGTTTTAACTGGAAGTCAGACTTTACACGCCTAACGTGAGATGGGGGCTAGGTATCTGTTGAGCAGCCCTATTCTACCCCTCGACTGCATGCGGCGGAACCCTCTCCACAGTGACCGACGGTGTAACGGTACGACGGGCAGCTGCCGTGAATTGTGGGGCTGTCGTGCCGGCCGGTCCGTCGATGGACGTCGATAAATGTCGGCCCGGCGTTTTGGGTCGACGTTAAAGGAATGTGGACCTGGCTTTCAAGTGCCGCCAGGGATCCCGTGGCGTCCAAACAAAAATCGCCACCAGCTTGTCTGTCGTGTGGGGGAACGGACGGGAGGGGAACGTCAATGAGGGGGAGAAGTGGAGAGGCCGTGAAGTCTTGGGAACGTCGCAGAGAGCTGACCACCTCATGCACGCTGCCGAAAGCTTGCTGCAGTGCAGTAGCACTGATAATGTCTCCCCACTGGCAAATCGAGCTGAGTGGTATGCACGCCCATTAGAAATCGGATTTTGAATTCAAAGGCGCCGTGGACGCTGCCCGCGAAGGATGCAGGACCGAGCTGTGATGGCAATTGGAGGAGGCCCCGATGGTCCACTCCCAATTGGCCAAGGCACGTTCTTGGCTTTTGGGCTAAAACAAACGCCTCCCACCAACATGCTTCAATTGACGCCAGCCGGTCGACAGCGGGGTCGCATCTCCCACTCCTCGACGTCGTTGTTTCGAATAACAATTGCGAGTTCTCATCGTGCCCGTCGACAAGAGAAACAAGTCGCGCTCCTAGTAAGCCTAAGGTATCTGGTCGAGAGTGATCATGAGCTAGAGAGGTCTAGACAGCGTTAGCGTCGTGCATGTTCGCCGTTGATCATCATCGTCAGCGAGGTCAGCTGTCACCGAGATCCGCATCGGAGGGGCATGTCAGGAACGCCTGTTGTAAACGAGTACTATCGCCTCCAAGAACACCTTCTGTATGTCCAGTCACTTGGTGCAGAAACCGTGCTCAGTATCTGCCATTGATAGTTCATTTTCCACTGACGGAATGGTTAATGGTAGAAGGAGGCCCGAATGACGATGAAGTTGAAGGACGGACGTGTGCATCTACCCCAGCCGACCGCCCCACTGTAGCTAGCGCCTTCCAGGTTGTCCCACCCGGCAGCTCGTCTACTACGCAGTAGCGTTCCCCGCTTCGCCCGCCTGGCTCTGGCCCATGCTCGACCTCCGCCGGCTTCAATGTGGGCGCCTCCCCCGTCCACGCTGTGACAGTCGCTTTGTTTTGTCTTGTCTCCCCTCCTCCTTCATCATCGTTACTCTCCCACCTGGTTGTTCTGCTTCTTGCACCTCTCGGGCCATTCAACTGGCACTTCGCTGTTTTCCACGGCGTGTTGATCGGCTTATCTGCCGCTGTGTTGCATTGCGCTCGGCGATTGCAGATTAACAGCCACCACTCTATCAAGTATCAACAGGGATGCGATAAGCTGCTCCCCTCACTTGTCCCGTACCACACGGCCCAGTGCTCTCGCGCCATTCAACAACACCGCGCACCCAATTTTGAACACGCCTTGAGTTGGTCTGCCTCAACGTGGTACTGCGGCTCATCACCTCATCGTCCATCAGTATCGGTATCCGTCCGTACCGCCCAACAGTTTAGCGCAAGCTCACGTCAATGACGGTCGTTCGATTCCCGACGTGAAGGACAATCCGACAGCCGAACGCTGTCGCCAAGCGCCCAAGGCAACACCAGCACACGGCACCAGCACGCCGCCCATCATGATGGCTACAATTGCCCTTCCGCGGCCAATCGCACCACACCGTCCCTCATCGGACCTGGGCTCCCTGTCGTCGACCATCACACTCGATAACATCAGCCCGTCGGCCCCGTCGACCATGGGCCCCGGGCCCGTTCCGAACAAGCATATTCCCGTTTGTCCGCCGGGTCCTGTGCCGCAGGAGGAGCCAAGCACGCCTCCTCCGTCACCCGGCAGCGATGATGACCGCCTCCAGCAGTCGTTGCTGTCACCTCCCGACAAGTTCACTCGGTCCGAGTCGGGGCATCTGTCCGTGTACGAAATTGGTGCCTCGGGTGTGGCCGCTGCCCTGGATCATATGTCGCGTCAACCCCTACCGGAGCCCGCGCAGGTCTTCCCCTGGCTCCATGGACTGCATCCCAGCAACCAGATCCAACAAGCCTTCTTTATCGCCCGCAAACGGGCTCTTCGTCGGACTCCGGGCTGCCTTCGAGGCATCACTCTCGTCAAGGCCGATGGTGATCTGACCGTTGCCCGTCTCAAGGGCGCCATCGCTCCCCACGAGTTCCTTCAGCTCGGCGGGGCTACCCCTGAGTTTCTCGACATTGACCCCCGCGAGGGCTTCTCGGTCCGCAATTTCCAGATTCAAGCAGCCAAGTCTGCTATGACCTCCGATATTATCGTCTACGGTCTCGACGATGCTGCGGTACGAAAGCTTGCGTGGGAAATTGCCGCGGCCCAGCAACGATGGCGCGACAAACACGAGGTGCAGCGCCACCACTTGCCGGTGTATAATACTTTCCTTTGCGTGAGCCCGTTTGCCGAGTTCGAGAACCGCCACCGAGAGATAGTCGCCATTGACGCCGTCGGCCGACCGACGGGCAACGTTCTTGACTTTCCCAGCCAGGAGCGTGCCGAGATGTATGCCATGACCGAGGCTTCGGAAATCGCTCACAACGTGTGGTTGGGTCCAACGCCTGATCAGGCGACCGAAGAAGCACAGGGTTATGACATATTGATCGAGTGCAGTGATCTGGGGCGGTTGGACCATGGCCCTCTCCTGGCCATTGCCGAGGGAGGTGCTGAGGCCCTCGGCCGACACTACATCGATTTCCCATCGTCCGGAAGCATTTTGGCGCCCACCTGG